AGAATGTGTTTTGGGGTGTAATTTTAAGTATGCCTATGCTGTGTATTAGAAATATCTTCTATATTGACAACTTTGCGTAGAAAAAAATACATTTTCATTTTCTTTTAACATATTCCAAAAACTTTTGGCAAAAAAATGAAGTCTTCAGAAGACTCCCCATGCCTCCTAAAACATACCTTGGGGTGTTTGCTTTCCAAAATGGGGTCATTTTGTGGATAATTCATTGTCCTGATGCTCCAGGACCTCCAAAACCGCAATAGGTAGTCAAGAAATTAGATGTGTAATTTTTGCCCTTAGAACGCTAAAAGGTGCTTATTGGATGCAGAGCCCCTCTATGTGGCCAGACTGTGAAAAAGTCTCACACATTTGGTATCGCCATATTCAGCAGGAGTTAAAGAATGCGTTTTGAGGTGTAATTTTAAGTATGCCTATGCGTGTAATAGAAATATCTCATAGATTGACAACTTTGCGTAAAAAAAAATACATTTTCATTTTCTTTTTCACATTTTCCAAAAAACTTAGTGGCAAAAAATGAAGTCTTCAGAGGACTCCCCATGCCTCTTAAAACATACCTTGAGGTGTTTTCTTTCTAAAATGGGGTCATTTTGTGGGTAATTCAATTGTTCTGGTGCCCCAGGACCTCCAAAACTGTGATAGACAGTCAAGAAATTAGATGTGAAATTTTTGCCCCTAGAACGCCTAAGGGTGCTTATTGGATGTGGGGCCCTTCTATGTGGTTAGGCTGTGAAAAAGTTTTACACATGTGGTATCGCCATACTCAGGAAGAGTAGCAGAATGTGTTTTGGGGTGTAATTGCAAGTATGCCTATGCCGTGTGAGAGAAAGAACTTGTTAAATGACAACTTTGTGGAAAAAAAAAAAATTGTGTTTACTTTCATCATTTCCTTCAAAAACTGGCAAAAAAATGACAACTTCAAAAACTCCCCATGCCTCTCATTAAATACCTCAGACTGTCTACTTTCCAAAAAGGGGTCATTTGGGGGGTATTTGTACTGTCCTGGCATTTTAGGGCCCCAAGAAATTATATAGGTAGTCTGTACATCAGGATTGATACATTTTAAAAAAAATATAGAAAATGTCTATGGACTATAACTTTCACAAAGACTAAATAATACACACTGATTTGGGTTATGTCTACCAAAAAAAGTAGCACAATGGATCTTGGCCTAAGTTTATGAAGAAAGTATATTTATTTGCAAAATTTATTATCAAATACTAAGAAGAACATGTTATTTTTCAACATTTTCAGTCTTTTTTCATTTTTTTTAGCAAAAAATAAAAACCTCAAGTGATGATGATTAAATACCACCAAATTAAAGCTCTATTTGTTTGAAAAAAAAATGATAATAATTTCATTTAGATACAGTGTTGTATGCCTGAGTAATTGTCATTCACAATGTGATAGCGCTGAAAGCTGAAAATTGGCCTGGACTGGACAGGAAGGGGGTGAAAGTGTCCGGACAGGAAAAGGTTAAATTCAAAAAATACTTTGTGAGCTTCTAGCAAGTGTTTTTGGTTGTCTGGGTTCTTCAATATCGAGGAATTCAGTCTCCAGCTACGGGGGGATTGAGGAATGTTGCTTGTCGTCAAGAGTTATGTTGATTGGAGCGTGATCAGACCAGGTTATGGTGCCAATTTTGGATGACGTTATATGTTGTAGGGTCTATTTGTCTGTAACAAAGAAGTCGATTCTAGAGTAGGATAGGTGAGATGGGGAGTAGTAGGTGTAGTCTCTTTCATTGCTGTGATGGCATCTCCAGATGTCGTATGGATCATGGTCATGTAAGAAACAATTAAAGTAATGTTTTGGGGAGCGTTTGTTGGTGGAAGAGTCCAGGAGTGGGTTGCTGATGACGTTGAAGTCTCCACCAATGAGAAGTCCGCCTTGTTTGTGAGAAGAGATGCTGGAATGGAGATTGTGGTAGAATTGCATTTGGTTGTTGTTGGGTCCATAAACATTTACTAGGGTATATGGTATATTGTTAACTTTGCAGATTAGGATATGGTAGCGACCTCGAGGATCTGCTATTTCTGAGATGTGGTGGAATTGTATAGAGTCTTTTATGGCTATAATAACCCCATTTTTCTTCTTAGAGTTATTGGCCATATAAATATGGAAGAATCGGTGCAGTTGTAGTTTAGGGGTCTTGGTGGTTGTGAAATGTGATTCTTGTATGAAAAGTATATCAGCATGAAGCGTACGGGCTTCCTTTTGGAGCATCCATCTCTTAAAGGGGGAGTTTAGACCCCGAACATTAAGTGATGTTATGTCAATCATTTTGTAGTTCGTTGGTTGGGTTGGTGGAGTAGAGGAGTCATTTCTGGGTGAATTGACATAGAATGGAGAGACTTGGTAGGACAAGAGAAATTTCTATGTGTTTGGTAGAGCGGTATTGGTTTGCTTGATGATGCGTGTGGTATTTTCCATGTTGTTTGGTTGGTTTCAGGTGAACAGTTGGTTCGGATGATCGACTGATGGTGCAGGGGGGGGTGGAAGTAAACAGGAATAAAAAAGACTTGTGGAAAATGCAAGTAACATGAGTAGCAGGGAGTGCTACTTCAAAACAGGGGGGGTGTGAACAAGCATAGACCGTAGAAAGGGTTATGCCAAACAGAGTCTCGTAATGTAAGAATATTCTGTAAGGGGCCATTGCCAGAGAATAATAATAGGTTGAGGTATAGCGTCCGAGGTGGTGGTGGTTGGGGCCATTGCCAGAGAATAATAGGTTGAGGTATAGCGTCCGAGGTGGTGTGGTTGGGGCCATTGCCAGAGAATAATAGGTTGAGGTATAGCGTCCGAGGTGGTGTGGTGTGGTTGGGGCCATTGCCAGAGAATAATAGGTTGAGGTATAGCGTCCGAGGTGGTGTGGTTGGGGCCATTGCCAGAGAATAATAGGTTGAGGTATAGCGTCCGAGGTGGTGTGGTTGGGGCCATTGCCAGAGAATAATAGGTTGAGGTCCGAGGTGGTGTGGTTGGGGCCATTGCCAGAGAATAATAGGTTGAGGTATAGCGTCCGAGGTGGTGTGGTTGGATTGTATAGAGTGTAGTAAGTCAAGTTCAGGTGGTGTGGTTGGATTAGAGTATGCCTCCATTTGTTGCCTCCATTTGTTGCAGATTGGTAGGGGTGGATTGGTGGGGTTCCACGGGTATTATGTTCCATGTCTTCAATAGGTTGATGCCTGCCTCTAGGTTTTTGATTGTGTGTATTCTGCCCTGATGTCTGACGATCAGTTTTTTGTGGGGAATCCCCATTGATAGCCTATTCCGTGATTTTGTAAGGCTTTGGTAATGTTCACCATCTTTTTGCAGTTAAGGAGAGTGGCCTTTGACAAATCCGTATATAATCTGATGTTTGTATGTGATGGCGGGAGGGGGGGGGGGGGGTTTCTGGCTGCTGTCATTACTTTTTCTTTGATCTGGTAGAAGTGAATGTGAGCCAGGATATCTCTGGGGATGGACGCTGATAGGAATGCAGGTTTGGGTATTCTATGTGCTCGATCTATGGCGAGCTCCATATCTGAGAGAGATGGAATGAGAAGCTTTGTGAATTGTTGGATAGATGATAGTGGTGTATCGTTGGTGATATTTTCAGGGATACCTCTGAATTTTATATTGTTGCGTCTTGAGCGATCTTCAAACTCTGCTATTTTCAGGTTTATTTGCTCGATTTCAGAAGCGTGGTCATCATGTGCGTCAATTAAATGGTTGTGTGCTGTACTTATACCTCCCATTCCGTCTCAATATGGCGTAATCTGGGATCTTGTTGCTGGACCACATTTGAGATCTGGGATAGTGATCCCGTCATATCGTTATGTAGTGTTTGTCGCAGGGATAGACGCATGTTCTTCATACACATTTCTGTGATAGGCTGGGCTGAGGTAGGGAAAGATTCTATGATGTGCTGAGGTGATGGAGGAATGAGAGGCTGACAGGCAGATAGTGAGTTTGAATCTAGACGGGGTCTAAATTTGGCTGGGCTGCTTGTGGTGGGTGACAGGGGGGAGATAACTCACCTGGATCCCCAGGTTATAGTGGAGAAAAGAGTCTGATGTCCGGCTGCTGGGATCTGCTGTCCCCCTCATGGCTGCTGTGTCCTGTGTCCATGCAGCCGTCGCCATCTTGGATCCCTGTTGTGACAGCAGGGAAGAATTGGGTTCATTTCCCTGGCTGTCCAGGGGTTTTGCGGCGGCGAGGCATGGCTACCGAGGGTTGTACACCCTTTATCTGCTGATTGGTGCAGGTTAGAACACTCGGTGTCGGAATGAGCCGCAGTGTAACTGGCGGGTGGATGGAGCTGAACTCAAAGCGCGTCCATCCAGGAGCCGGCCACACATGCACCCCCCAAGGGCTCTATTTATAGAACATTCATTGGACCAATGAGACAATCATTCCTCCAGCTGTGACAACATCCGGCCATATGTTAAGTAACACAGTGATTTCCTATGATCGCCGGCTCCATCTAGTGGCCACAATGAGGTGATATTTCTGAAATCTCTCCATCAGTAAAACTAGCCCAATATGATATTATGGCCACTAGATGGAGCCAATGATCATAAGAATTAAAATACGGCCAAAACTCCTTCCAGCTGGAGAATGGGGTCACATCCATTCAACATTGTTCTCCATAGACCTCCAAGTGTTGGTGAAATCTCCTCCCACCACAAAATGTACTCAGCCAATCACAGGGCAGGACTCCATTTTTATTCTTCTCCTGCCATCAATGGCCAACCCGGTCCCACACTTCATCCATGTCTTTGGGGGCCTCTGATCTCCTTATGAACTGTTTCTTCCATGATGAAGATCAGCCATGGAGTATATCTGAGGTATATATCAGGGTGTGCTTCTTCCCCACATGAGAGCTGGGATGTCCAGCAACATTCATCTAGAAGACATTTCCCGCACTCAAGGCACTAATACACCTCCAGGGTTGTGTGGGACCCCTGATGTACAGGAAGACAGGACTCCAGTGAGGAACATTTCCCTCACTCAGGACAGGAAAGTGGCTTCTCCCGGGTGAGATCTCTGATGTGTGTAAAGATGGTACATCTCTGAAAAACATTTCCCACACTCAGGACAGGAATATGGCTTCTTCCCCGTGTGAGATTTCTGATGTGTGTGGAAAGATGGGACTTCATTAAAAAACATTTCCCACACTCCGGACAAGAATATGGCTTCTCCCCCGTGTGAGATCTCTGATGTATGTGCAGATCGGACTTCTGTGAAAAACTTTTCCCACACTCAGGACAAGAATACGGCTTCTCCCCCGTGTGAGATCTTTTATGCATATTAAGACTAGATTTAGAATAAAAATCCTTCCCGCACTCAGGACAGGAATATGGCTTCTCACCTGTATGATATCGCTGATGTATATAAAGATTGGACTTCTGTGAAAAACATTTCCCGCACTCAAGACAGAAATACGGCTTCTCCCCCGTGTGAGATCTCTGATGGGTGTAAAGAATGGACTTCCTTGAAAAACATTTCTCGCACTCAGGACAGGAATATGGTTTCTCACTTGTGTGAGTTCTCTGATGTGAGTAAAGATAGGACTTCACTGAAAAACATTTCCCGCACTCAGGACAGGAATACGGCTTCTCCCCCGTGTGAGATCTTTTGTGCACATTAAGACTGGATTTATAACTGAAACATTTCCCGCACTCAGGACAGCAGAAGCTCTTCCCTGTTGGAAGGCCGGTCCGGTACCCCGCACAGTCTGAGGTTCCTCAGGATACAAGGAATGCGATGGTCCATCTACACTGGGTGGTGCCGGATGGACATTGGAGGGAGCCGGGTTTTCTCCTGGACTATACTGTGTGATGTCCTCATCTTCTACTTTCCAGTCTGGAGACAAAGTGAGACAATCCTCGGAGGTTTTCCTCATCTCCCGGCCATGGACTAAAATACAAAGACAAAGAGGATTACTAGACAGGAGCTTATTGGTTCCCCCAAACCAGGACTCCGCCCACATTAGGCAGCTTGGTCTCTGAGGAGCTTACAATTCCACCCTCAAGGGAACTAAGAAATGGCTCCTCTGATCTCCTACCAGGTCATTCATTCTTTATTCATGGACCTTAGTCAGAGAGTGAGGAAACAACCAGAACTGTCTTTTATAGGAGGGACAGTGATGAGGGGATTATAGGACGAGGGTCCCCACCCCCCCTCTATCACTCATCGCCATCTTCCCAACACAAGAAGTACTGCACTTCCTTATTTAGTCCATGATTTAGTCATGAAGAACAGCGGGGCTGAGCCCCACCAGAGGTCAGAAGTATGTAATGTATAACAGAGTATATAGTGCAGGGGTCAGGAGTATGTAATGTACAACATAGAGTATATAGTGCAGGTCAGGAGTCAGGAGTATGTAATGTACAACATAGAGTATATAGTGCAGGGGTCAGGAGTATGTAATGTACAACACAGAGTATGTAATGCAGGGGTCAGGAGTATGTAATGTAAAACATGGAGTATATAGTGCAGGGGTCAGGAGTATGTAATGTAAAACATGGAGTATATAGTGCAGGGGTCAGGAGTATGTAATGCACATCATAGATATATATTGCTGGAGTCAGGAGTATGTAATGTACAACATGGAGTATATAGTGCAGGGGTCAAGAGGATGTAATGTAAAACAGAGTATATAGTGCAGGGGTCAGGAGTATGTAATACACAACATAGAGTATATAGTGCAGGGGTAGGTCAGGAGTATGTAATGCACAACAGAGTATATAATGTAGGGGTCAGGAGTATGTAATGTACAACAAAGTATATAGTGCAGGGGTCAGGAGTATGTAATGCACAACAGAGTATATAGTGCAGGGGTATGTAATGCACAACAGAGTATATAATGTAGGGGTCAGGAGTATGTAATGTACAACAAAGTATATAGTGCATGGGTCAGGAGTATGTAATGCACAACAGAGTATATAGTGCAGGGGTCAGGAGTATTTAATGCACAACATAATAAAAAGTGCAGGGGTAACGAGAATATAATGTACAACATAAAGTATATAGTGCAGGGATCAGGAGTATGTAATGTACAATATAGAGCATATAATGCAGGGGTCAGGAGTATGTAATGTACAACATAGAGTATGTATTGTAAAGGTCAGGAGTGTAATGTAATGTACAACATAGAGTACATAGTGCAGGGGTCAGGAGTATGTAATGTACAACATGGAGTATATAGTGCAGGGGTCAGGAGTATGTAATGTACACTATAAATTATACAGTGTAAAGGTCAGGCCTCATAATATTGGTATTCAGTAATCAATTGTAATCTAAATGTTTACTGTAGACAAGTTGCAGAGATCCCACACCGCTGCCTCCCATCTCCTGAGACTGCACTCAGTGACTTGGGTCTGAGACACTACAGACATATCCCTCCACCCGGCACAGCCAGCAGACCACAGAGCAAGGAACCCTGGGAGAAATGTTCTGTCACGGATCTTACTAGACCGGGTGATGGGGCAGAAGACCCAAGACACACACCCCAGGGGCCTAAGTCTAGTAACACTTATGGTGAAAATGAACATTTTTCTGCCAGCTGAACCCCAGAACCTCCATAAATCCAGTCTAGATACATAAATTGTGTCTGCAGCACAGAGAAGGAAGATTATCCGAGAGAAATCCAGGAATACAGGACGGGGAACACAGCTCAGGAAAGTGACCAGGGGATTACAGGCTGATATCACCCAGTCCCCGCCCTACTCTGGACCAATCAGTGAGCAGTATGGGTGGAGGAATGGATTTAGTGTTCATGACCCACCTGTGCTGATCTCTGTAGGAGTGTCCTCCTCTATAAATGTCCCCGTTATTCCATCCTCCTCCATAGACTGCTGATCATCCCTCACATACGCCTCTTCTTCTTCTGCTTTCACCTCAAATTCTATATCGATTGGATCTCCACTCTAAATAAAGGAAATGAGAGAAAATATCATCTGTAAAATATAAGGTCACATAAAAAATCCACACATTGTCTATATGAATCCATGTTCTAGATGCTCCATCTCACCAACCTTGCAATGGTGAGGGATGGTGTGACCTTCCTGTGTGGAATCCCGGGAATAAAGAGGACGGGGACATCTCTCTGGTGGGTTCCTGGTATTAGGTGGCTCCATCATATCCTTGTGTCCTTCTGAAAACTCCTCCATCACTCCATACTCCTCATCCTCCTCTTTATACTCTTCTTTAACATCAATATTATCATCCCCGAGGATTCCACTCTGAAAGATATAATAAAACATTCATTGTAACAAACATGCTGTGTATAAATCACAACTACCAATAATTGTCATCATCTACCTGATGATGGTGAGGGATGGTGTGACCTTCCTGTGTGGAATCCCGGGAATACAGAGGACGGGGACATCTCTCTGGTGGGTTCCCATGACTGGATCCATCTGTAGGAAACACACACACTGACTGAATCCATTGTTTCTATGTGTTTATCAGATGATGGGGGATCTAGGTGGATCCTCCGTACTGCTCTCTCCTTTACAATAAAGTCTCCTCTTACCCGGTGATGTGAGGGGCGGCTGATTGTCCATCATGACGTCCTTGTAGAGATCCTTGTGTCCTTCTAAATACTCCCACTCCTCCATGGAGAAATAGACAGTGACACCCTGACACCTTATAGGAACCTGACACACACAATGATACAGTCACCATCCAGACACATCCCTTGTCTGTTACTGGAGAATGTCCCAGAATTCCCGGCACCGCTCACCTCTCCTGTCAGCAGCTCAGTGATCTCTCTGGTGACTTCTAGAATCTTCTTCTTCTTTCTCTTCTATCAGGGAGGGAGGTGGAGGCAATGTGATGTCATATGATCTCCAGACTTCACAGGAGGAAAACTCTACATCTGAACACAAATAGTCACATCAAATGATATTCCCAGAATCCTCCTCACCTCTCCATTCAGGTCTCCATTTTATTAAAGCCCCACTTCAGGCTGAAGTATAATTCCCCCCACAGGACCCCCACACTACACAGGGTATAGGCTTGTTGCAGCATTCTGATGTCATCACATACAACGCAGGACCAACAGTCCCACTTTACATGTGAGGATACCAAGGGGCCCCACATCCTAAGAGCATCAGAAAAATGCCAGATGGAGGGACATTGGGAGGAGGAGCTGTGAGGTCAGTGTGATGTCATAGGATTCTCTGACTCTGGATGGAGGGACATTGGGAGGAGGAGCTGTGAGGTCAGTGTGATGTTTCCTCCCCCCAGGGTCACTGCAGGTGTGGAGAAAAGCTGTGTAAGAGGATATGGAGGAGAGATGAGGAGGAGATCCAGGAATCAGGAGAAAGGTCAGGGCAAGCAACAGACGAGCGCATCCAAGAGACCAAGCCGGGGTCACTACACAGAAAATCAATCCAAGGAAACAACAGGCAGGACGAGGAATAGCAAGAAGGAGCTGAGAGACAAATGAGAATATTGCTCAGCCAATGGGAGATGATCTCAGCATGACTTCCATCATGAAGGAGATGAGGGGGAGGGGAGGAAGTCACTGAAGGTGACCATAGATCCATGGAAATTCAGCTGGTTCAGCAGGGATCGCTCACATTTCCATCCATGTGTGGCCACTGCCGGATAAAAGCCACTCCCCCAGCGGCTGCAGCCAATAGCTTCAGTGCTGTTCTGTGTATTCTGAGAGCTGAGGAGTCCCCCCATTGTCAGAATACAAGAGTGCAGCGGGGAGGATTCCCCCATCCACCTCCAATGTGTGGATGGGGGAATCACTTCAGTTTTTATGGTCATCCCGCTGGCTGAACGATAAAACTGAACCATGTAGGCCAGCTTTGGGGGCAAATATATTATCATCAACTCCTCCCCCTGAAGGGGTTCATCTACGTATTACCTCCTCTGCTGCCAGATCCAGGAACCTCTCCTCTCTACTTCCTCATTCATGGAACTTCCTGTCTGTACCTAACATCACTTCCTGCCTGTACCTGACATCACTTCCGGTCTTCCATAGAGACTTCCTGTCTGAGTAGAAGTGAGATCCCCACCTTGTGGAGCTCAGAGGAACTGCAGCCCTGAGAAGTGTCTGGTTATTTAGAGGCGGGCTCTTGCTGGAATGGCGGTCGGGGGGCAGAGTCTGTTCCAAGCGTGGGTTTATCCTTTATGTGAGACTCATTGCCCAAATCTGGGGGGGCCCCAGCCATTTCCCCCCCTTTACTCCCAGCTGGGGGGTTTTTTTATCCATATACCGTTTTGCAGGACTAAACTGCAATTTTACGCAAAATCAAAAAGGGGCCCCAAAAAC